TCAGCGGAGGAGACGCCACGGCGGTCAGACTGGAGACTAGGACGGGCAAAACACTATTCCTCGTCTCCCTGTACCTTCCCTTCGAGCACCCCGACCCACCAGGCCAAGTGGTAGAGGAGCTGGCCTCAGTACTGGGAGGAAAAGGCGGCCTCATCATTGGATGCGATGCAAACGCTCATCACTCTCAATGGGGCAGTAGTAACACCAATGCCAGAGGTGAGTACATTTTTGATTTTATCTTATCTCATAATCTCAAAATCTGTAACCGGGGAAAGGAGGCGACTTTTTGTATTAAGAATAGGGAGGAGGTCATAGATCTCACTCTCACTAACATGGATGAATCACTTATACTGAACTGGAAAGTTTCGACTGAGTGTTCCTTCTCGGACCACCGGAAAATAACATTCCAAATTTCGGTAGAGGGATTGAATCAAAAACCGCATAGGAACCCGAGAAGGGCTCGATGGAATCAATTTGCGGAGCATACCGCACGGATGCTTAAGTCCACTGGTGATTTTCCAGTGGCCTCGGCATCGGATGTGGACGACTCCGTCAAGTTGCTAACAAAGATCCTGATCGGCAGCTATGAAAGAGCCTGTCCGCTAACCTTCCCGGGTAAAAGGCACCAGCCTGTCTGGAGGTCGAAAGACCTAGCTCAGCTCAGGAAGACTAGTAGACGACTATACAATAAGGCCAACAAGACCAAACTGGGTACGGACTGGGAAGCTTATAAACTAGCCTTCAATAAGTACAACAGTGAGATCAAGAAGGCCAAGAGACGGTCTTGGGTGTGTTTCACCGAGTCCATAGATGATGTCAACGCAGCCTCCAGATTCCGTAGAGTACTTTCAAAGGACCCAAAATCCATTGGAAGCATAAAGCGGACTGATGGTAGCTGGACTGACTCAGGTTTAGAGACTCTCAATCTATTAGCCAGTACTCACTTTCCGAACTGCTCTGATGCGGTATTTGACCGATTGGCAACACGGTCTAGTCAGCATAGTGGGACGGAAGATGTGAATCTGACTAATAGTATTGTTAACACCCCCAAGATTTTGTGGGCCATTAACTCATTCAAACCTTTTAAGTCACCGGGTCCAGATGGCATTATCCCCGCCATGCTACAGCATGCGTCGGCGGAGATAATACCAGTCCTGGAGGTGATTTTTAAGGCTTGTCTGCGTCTTTCTCACATCCCACTACTGTGGAGGGAAGTTACAGTCACTTACATTCCCAAAGCTGGGAAGCCAAGCCATGTTCTTCCAAAAGACTACAGGCCTATTAGTCTCTCGTCTTTTCTATTGAAAACGCTAGAGAGACTAATAGACATAGAGATCAGATCTCTAATACCCCTGACCTCCTTAAGCACTGCTCAGCACGCCTATATGAAAGGCAAATCTGTTGAGTCAGCGCAGCACGACGTCGTGGGTTATATAGAGAAGAACCTGAACAGCTCATGTTTCACGTTGGCGGCCTTCCTCGATATCGAGGGGGCCTTCAATAATGTTACATTAGAGGCAATTCACAGTTCTCTCGAAAGACTTAGTGTGCCACCACTTCTCGTCGACTGGATTGATGTTATGCTCAGCAGCAGAATCATTAACTCTAGCATCGGGGAGTGTTCTGTTAGGAAAACGGTCACTAGGGGTACCCCACAAGGAGGCGTTTTGTCACCACTGCTTTGGCTTCTGGTGATAAATAACATTCTACTTGATCTGGAACACAGCGGAACAAAGGTCGTGGCTTACGCCGACGATGTGGTCCTGCTGATTGCTGGGAGATTTCCGCAAACTATTACGGATCTTATGCAGGGAGCTCTGGTTAAACTCTCCAGATGGGCGCGCTGCAATGGTTTAGGCGTGAACCCATCTAAAACTGAGCTCGTACTTTTTACAAGGAGGCGGAAAATACCCGTCCTCTCTCTCCCAATGCTGGATGGTGTAACTCTAAGCCTTTCTTCGGAAGCAAAATATCTCGGTACCATTCTAGACCAGAAGTTAAGCTGGAAAAGGAATATCGAGGAGCGAGCGAAAAAGGGCTTAAATGCACTTTATTCCTGCAAGAACTCCATAGGAAAGAGTTGGGGGCTTAAACCCCATATTATCCGATGGATATATGAGTCAGTCGTCCGACCAATCCTTACCTATGGCGGACTTGTGTGGTGGCATTCCTTACGGAAAATCACCTTCAGCAAGAATATTGACAAAGTACAAAGAGTCGCATCGCTACTAATTACAGGAGCGGTCAGGAGCACGCCACAATCCGCTCTAGACACCCTACTCAACTTAAAGCCTCTAGGCTTATTTGTAGAGGAACTAGCTGCTAGGTGTGCCCTGCGACTCAACGAATTGGGACAATGGCGGAGTCAACCCTTCGGGCACTCTGTCATTCTTAAGTATGTGGAAAACGTAAGTAATCAGGCTATAGCTAGTGACTATATACTCCCTAGGCACAGCTTTGATCTACTTGACATCCGCATACCAAACAGGGATATCTGGTCCCATAGCACGCCACCTTTCGACGGTATAGCTGTCTATACTGATGGTTCAAAGATGGAAAGTGGAACGGGTGCTGGAGTCTACTGTGAAAGCCTAAGTATCCGAAGATCCTTCAGGCTAAACAGCGATTGCAGCGTTTTTCAGGCAGAAATATTTGCTGTCAGAATGGCCATAGAACTGCTGAATAATAGAATTAACGAACTGGATGGACCGGTGACTATATATATCGATAGTCAAGCGGCCCTAAAAGCTCTAAATTCTTTCACAATCAAGTCTATGGCTGTTCTGGAGTGCAAGAATGCCCTGGAAAAGTTTAAGTCAGTTGTCAAGCTCTGTTGGGTCCCTGGACACTGCAACATATCTGGCAATGAATCTGCCGATGAATTGGCCAGACGCGGATCTGAGTCAGTAGATCTAGAGATCGAGAGCTCAGTGAAGCCACCTTTATGCCACTTCTTTCAAGTTCTGCATAAACACTATCTTGGAAGATTTCAACAGAACTGGCTATCTGGAAGGGGATGCATCATCTCCAAAAAGATTTGGCCGGTGAACTCCGAACGGAGATCACGGTCACTCTTGTCCATGACGAAGTTGGACTTGAAGCTTGTGGTGGGCCTAATTACAGGTCATTGCAACATAAAGGCCATGACTTCAAAATGGGGGGGGTGACGACACTGAATACTGCAGGCTATGTCAGGACGAGGAAGAAACAGAAACGGTGGAACACTTACTCTGTCATTGTCCTACCCTTATCGGAGTAAGACATAGGCTTCTGGGTAAGCACTTACTGCCTGACCTGTCATGCCTCTCCGAAACAGAACCAGCAGTCATTCTTCAATTAGCCAGAAGACTAAAATGGCTAAGGACGACACGCTGATTACACCGTGGACGCAAACCCACTAGCTCTTCTAATTCTTCTAAATCTTATTTTCTACACTAACTATCTTTCTTACCTCACTTCCACTTTTTTCTAGACTAGGATGATCACAATGGGCCAGTAGGTCTCCGAGTGGAGTGGTTGTTGTTTTTACACAGCCACACATCCTTTAACCTAACCTAACCTAACACTGCTACAACAACAACAACGACCATTTAATAGATATAAACCGTTTTAGACCTAATACTGGGAACTTTTGGTTAACTCTCAGGGTCACCAATGCCCAAGAAAAGGAAACTACCTTAACTCTCACTCTTTATCTCCCAGAAGATTCTGGATGATGTGGTTGGACCTTTATTTGAAAGACATATATTTTGAAACTCGTTTGGACTACCGATTAAGGTGGAAGAGGAATATCGAAAATAGCCCAAAATGGGGTCCAATTAGATCATAATCCTGCCATTTATATGTCTAATGAAAGTTTGGATTGGATTGGGTTTGTTGACGATGTAAAGATAAATATGCGTGTAGACAGATTTTCAAAACCACGCTGTATACACGTTCAAATTATACTCAGAAACTTGGTATAAAACATGTATTCAATAGTACTTTTTAGAAACTTTCTAAACTTCCCACCACATCTCTTTTTTCAGCAATACACGTAAATGCATTAAATGATTCAGACGTTCGCCCAGTACCAATAAATTGTAAATAAACAATGTATATATATTGTACTCTATACATAACTACTTTGGTTATAAAAATTTTGTGGACCTATGTGTATATGTTTCATGTGAAAAAAATGTTTTCAATATTTTTTCCATTCAATTCTAAAACTTTAATAAAGACATTTGGTTGACATAGAACCGCTGCGTGATTTAATCTTTCTAATACAAATTGCGCTTTTTATAATATATAGCACAATATAACGCCTGATTTGAAAACTATTCCATAAATCCTTTAACGACGTTAATCCATTGCAATTCATGATTTCAAGTAGGCTGATTGGCTCCATTTGCATGTTTACTGTGCAAAAACTTGCCGAGGCTCACCATGATAATAAGACAAAGCCAACAGCCCGTTGTCTACATGTTTATTATATTCAAATATAACCGCATAGTACAAAATAAGGATATTTTTGAGCTCCCAAACATCTATGGTAAGTCATTTTAAATCTAAAATTCAGCCCCTCAGTAGCATAAATGTTCTCGTAAAAATTAGAATAGATTTTTTTGGAATCATTCATGGGTCGACCCAAAATGAAGCCAGACTAAAATAAATGTGGTTTACCAAAGGAGATTGTATGAGTAAATTGTTTAAGCGCTAAGACGATTGGACACAAAAATACTATTGTTATATTTACGAAAAACTTCGTAACCCAACGTCTGATCAACCGCGATTTAAAGTCATATACCACTTAAATATCCTCACCGTAAATATAATAGTGTGTGAAGTTGTTAATTGCATTTTCACCTCCCCTGGTGCTTTTCAAAACATAAAAAAGTACCCAATTCAAAATAAAATCATGCACAAAAATAAAAATTAACATTTTGTGTTTTTTTGTTTTCAAATATTTTTTCTTTTAATTATTTGAAAAAGTTAACTTAATACAGAGACACATACAGTTATGTTTTTTTTTTGTAGTTGTAATTACATAATAAACTCAAGAGATTTTTAATATTACAAATAAAAATTATAAAAAATCACAATATTTTAACTAAAAAATATTTTCCACATAATTAATTGTTTATGCAAACAGGGACAGAGAAGGAAACCTAACCAAAAAAAAAAGGAAATGGAATAGAGTAGTAGCAAAGGATAAGGAGTACTCATTGAGAAAGTTATAAAGTTGAAAGCAAATTTGCCAATGAGCAATAAATTTTATATGTATACATATATATAAAGATAAGAAAATATTACAATACAAATGATTCTTATAGTTATAAAAATAAACATCTTACACGAAATCCATATTCTTCTTCTCCTTCTTCATTATAATCATCATCATTATCATCATCTTATTACACATCTGTCTCACAATGTCTTTTCTTCTTCTTTGAAATAATTATTACTTGCGTTTGTTGTTCGTTTCTTTGTTAAAATACATTAAAATATATATTATTTTCGATTTTTTGTTACAAATTCCACTAAAGAAAATTCAAAGACTGGGTGGGGGGGGAGTAAGAGGAAAAATAACAATAACATAGATGGGTCCATAAAACGAGATTTGTTTTGAGACCATACAGCAGAATGATTGGTTATTTTGTTTTTGGTCAGAGATATGTAAGGAAAAAACAATAGAAAGAACAAAATATTGCAAAACAGTTTGGTGTCAGCAGTTTTAAAATAAACAAGAAAAATAGTACAAGAACGAGAACGAGAGAGAAAGTCTAAAATTAAAATTGTTTAATTGTCTACATGTGTATCGTTGCAGCCGTGTAACGAGCTTCGCCGCGTCTCCATGACCATTGACTGGGACGATACTGAAATAGAAGAAAGCAAACAAAATAAAATGTTATTTAAAGTGTTTGGAATTAAATTATAAAACTAGATAACAGTAATAAATTATTAAAAGCTAATAAAATGATTGAAAAGTTGTAATTTGTTCACTTCTATTGCATGAAATGTAAATGGAAACATCAATGTGCAGGGGGAATTCTTTGAAGAGTTTTTTGGTACAAAAAATGAAGATGAAAATATTTCTTTCACACATAATTTTCCGACTAAAATAACTTAAAAATATGTTACAACTGCAGTGATTTCAGCAATCTTTTCCTACAACGTTTGCAGACTGCCGGACAAGAACTGCCATACCAGCCCCCATTTAATTACAGAAGGACTATTTAGGAAAAACAAAGTTTGTTCAGTGTTTTCAGAAAATAGGGACAGAAAAATCTTTATTAGTTCTACAATAAAAACTCCATCTAGATTATAAATAACGAACTAAGGTTTAACACGTAAAAAACCCGTAGTTCAGCCGGGCCGAACTTTAAATACCCCCCACTATTTGGAACAAATTTGGCAATTTTCAAAAAACAAATAAATAAATAAATTAAAATTCGTTAACAATTCTGTTAAAATCTTAAAAAACACCGAATATAGCCGTTATATTAGTGTCTATACGACGACATGGACTTGCAAAGGTAACCTTTGTCATAAACCATTACAATATTAAAATGCAAAACTTGAAAAAATTATCAAAATACCGAATATAGGGGGATACCATTATTTGGGGGCTATACCAAAGCGTGGACCTGCACAGACAATTTTCTGTCATAGACTATAGTATACATTACGAACTTTAAATACCAAATTTGAAACAATTCCAATGAATGAATAAAATCATCAAACAAGTAAGCAAAGGCTACAGTCGAGCGGGGCCGACCGTTGAATACCCTACAACACTATAATAAACGATACAGTTTATATATATTTCCAATTTAATTAACGAAATAGTCAGAAGTGCGTCTTTCCTGTATTTGTGAATTCTCCAAAAAGTCACTGGAATGGACATTTTCGTATTTTGACTACAAAAGTTGGCAAACTCCTTCACACATTGAATATTTTTGGATGGCCATCCAAAACTGCTTGGCTTTTGAAATGTCCGGTAACCCCCATTCAAATGTGCGTGAGTATCGGGCGATAATTACGACCTCCTGACAATTTTGCAGTTTTTTGGTCCATTTCAACCCCCAAATATATGGCGATCATCTCCAAAAAGAGTAGGCTTCTATTCTGACCCTCCTCTTATCTCCATGCAAAATTTCGTAAGGATCGGGCCATAAATGCGATCTGTATATGATATCCTGTTATCCTAACTACTTAGTTTTGTTAGCTGTAGAAATATTACCAAATGTTTAATTCAAAATGAAAATATGACAAAATTGAAAAAATATGAGAAAATTTTACAAAATCAATATTTTCATCTTAAAAGAGATATTTTTATGCGATTTTTTTAGACGTTTTTTCTTTCCTGCCAAGAGGCCATTCTGAATTAATGAGAACTGTCGAAATCAGTTCAGCCGTTCTCGACATATATGAGATCTTTCAAGCATATCTTCTTTGATAGACATATATATCGCACATATTTTGCTATATATCCGATTTGTTGGATGTTAACATCAATCTAAAGATCAGAAGTAACCTTGTCATGGCTTTGTGATTTCGCCGGGATTTAAAATATTCGCGGTTTAATGAAAAATTTGGAATTTTTTCAACACAAAAGATATGGCATATTTTACCCGCTAAATATTATCCGATGACCACCCAAATTAGTAGGCTTCTTCCCCGCCCTAAACTCTATCTACATGCGAAATTTCGCGTCGATTGGTCTATAATTGCGACCTGTATAGCTACTGCAAAATTCGACATTTTTTCAGTATTTGGTCCATTTCAACCCCTAAACATTTGGCGATCATCTCCAAAAGCAATAGGGATCTATTCTGGTCCAAGCCCCACCTACATTCTAAATTTCGTGATGATCGGGCCATAATTGCGACCTGTAGAGTGATTACAAATTAACATGGACAGACGGACAGACGGACGGACGGACATACATAGCTAGATCGACTCAGCTCGGCGAGCTAGGAAGATCCATATATACTTTCCTATGTGGGAAACCAATATTTCGAGGTGTTACATAATTTTTGGCCCAATCAAACTTATAATACCCCCAACACATAGTGTTGTAGGGTATAAATACTGAATATCGGGAGGTACCGTTATATTGCGGCTATACGAAGACGTGGACATGCACAGACAATTTTCTGTCATAGGCTTTAATATACATTACGAACTTCAAATATCAAATTTGAAACAATTCCGGTGAATAAATCACTAAAATACCAAAAATAGGGGGTTATAAAAAAACATGGACATACACGGCCCATTTTCAATACCAAAAGTTCTGCAGACACAATACACATTTGAGTAAAAATTTATCAACCTGAATATAAAGAGTTCAACCGTCGCTTTAGAATGTCCAACTCTGTTAATTTTAAAGTAGCAGAAAGGTTTTCCGACACATCATAAAATCTACAGCCGAATACCCTACATAGGCTTGGAATTGACTAATTCCGTCAGCAAAAAATCGCGAGACTAGCCAAAGAGTTTGATGAGTTCCATCGTTCCCACACTACGGATCCCAAAGTCTATGTATTGACTGCTGAATTCAAGCGGTTGGCACAGTAGCATTACAGGAACAAGTGGCTAGACAATTTGAAGTGTTTGAACCGGTATGAGTAAGCTGTGGGAACAGTTAAATCGCTCTCGAACCCTGGGAAAAAGTGTAATGGGACCTCTATCACATTTAACGACATAACGGTGAGTGAATTTTAAATATTTTCATCGACAGAACAGTGTTGGCTTCTTTGTTCGGGATACCGTAGTATTTTGTTGTTGCAAAATTGTCAGGCTTTATCCCTTTATTGTTGTTTTTATAAAAACAACGTTTGTTTATTAGTGGAGAACGATGGTAATGTTTACCAGGGGGTAAGGCAGGGAATACCTAGGTTTGGGGAAGAGCCACCAATCCTCATCAGTTCCCTTGTTTTTTGTCTGGGATATTCTCCCCAGAAGTTATTTTAAATTTTTTTACCCAAGTGACGAGATCGTAGCTCAATAGAAGAGGAACCAAAGAATTAAATAAAACTAAAATTCTTTTGGAAAGTCTTCTAAATCTTACAACCGCACTTATAAACATTTACATCTTTCTCCACTTGTTATGCTTTCGTTCAACCTGAACGAAGTAGCATAACCATGTAAGTTGGTTTTGTCTGTTACAACAAAAACCCCTTCGTCGACCGTGCCTTGTCTATTAATAGAACAGTGTTGGCTTGTTTGTTCGGGAAACCGTAGTATTTTGTTGTTGCAAATTTGTCAGGCTTTATCCCTTTATTGTTGTTTTTATAAAAACAACGTTTGTTTATTATTATTATTATTATTATTATTATTATTAATCGACAATATGTTGAGCAACCCTAGAGCGATAAGGCGAAGTGATCTCTTTCTGCCGAGAAAACACCACCACAATTTACGATGAGTGGTGTTGCAAATGTCATCCGAAACGCTAAGGCATCCAAAACGTTGGTCCGGGTTGAGTATCTCATAAAAGTTACCAGTAGCTACCTACATAGTTCGCGAAGTCTAGAGAATGGGACGGATGGTTCCATTACTGAAGCAAGGCAGCAAATACGAATCATTTGGGCCAATATCGCTTTTCTTGCCAGTAGCAAAGATATTTGACGCGTTATGCTAGGAACACAATTGGAGCGAACGACGAATTTTTTCGCGGCGTATGTTCGTCGTCAAAAATAAAACACATATGTGTATATGGAAGTGCACACAATCACGGCGCCGGCGAAAATTTCGTCGGTCGCCGCGAACTCAATTAGCTTTATTTCTATTTCATACGCCGGCGACCGGCGAACAAAACAGTACAAGGTGGCCATACTTGTACGAATTTTATGTGTTTTAGTAAATAAAGTTACTATCTACTTTAAAATTTGTTATGGTCACTCTACTATCTGTTATTCGTATAAAAAAACATAAATAATTTGTTTATTTATTTGTGCACTTGCGCCTGAGTGAAGATGGATATCAGTGAATTTATAATAGAGAAGATGGACATAACTGAAATTATAATAGAGAACGTAGAATTATGAGTTCTTGTATAATTTTCATTGTAGTCAACAAATGAGCAAAAAGTAAACAACTTCATCAGCTGTTTTATAATTTCGTCGGTATTGTGTTCCATACGACGAATTTTCGCGGCTCATTTTGTCGCCGCGTAGGGCGAAATTCGTCGTTCGCTCCAATTGTGTTCCTAGCTTTACTCCTCCCCAGCATCAGAGGAAGGAATTCAATTGCCACCCATCAAAACGACAACATAGCAGCACAGCAGCACTGCTAAGACTAGAACGGTGTTGGTAGCCCTTAACATATCAAAGGCATTTGATGCAGTCAATCCGATAAGTGTAGAAAGACCTACCTAAGTTTGAAACGTTGTACAGTCAATTATAAGAGTGGACGCCAATCGTAGGTAGAATTCAGGAACAAGAAGTCCTAGCCTCGTAGAGTGAAACAGGGAGTTTCGCAAAGTGGGATGATATCTCTGAAATTGTTTAACCTTGGTCATTCCGGAATTTCGGGACCTCCAGACGGCATCGAGATCGTATACTATGCGCATCGAGCAATGTTAAACACCTATCTCGCAGAATTTGGCGCCTACTTCCACGCAAGGAATATGAAAATATCCGCCATTAAATCAACGGCCACACCTTTTACCGCATGGTGTGCGGAGATGAGAACTGAGATGGATGTGCAGGTCGAGAAACATTAAATTACGACCAGAAAGTACCCTAAGATCATGGGGGGTAACATTCGACAGAATGTTCAAGCCGTCCGCGCAAAATCACTGCTATACGCAATTAATTTAATTTAAATTATTCTGAAAAACGTCGGCTACCTAATCCAGGCCTGGCAACGTTCAGGTTTAAAACAATTGAATGGAACAGAATCTAGGAGACGACATAGAGTTCGTTAGGTAAACGAGTGATTGTGCGATCTTAGCGCCGGGTTTGAACTTGCAACAGCGTACATCGCTATTTCAGAACTCTCTGGTTCGTTTATTAGTTAGCATTTATTTGCGTCCCATATTAGGCCTATACTAGAAAAGGGTTCAGTGTATGTATTATGGCTTTGAATCAGTGCAAAAATAATTTGTACTTGTTGAACAGAGAGATTTTCATTAAAAGTAAACCTATTTTTGTTCAGAACTATTATGAACATTAAAAATATTAAATGATAATTAACCCTTTTTGTTTTATTTAGAATTTATATCTTACTTTGGCGCGAATCTATCAGTAGAATGTGTCAGTAGATTTTAATTCTTTGTATGATATCGTAGATTTTGGATTTTAGATAAAAGAATTGTTCGACGAATATTTCTCATAACAATGTATAGCACACATTAAGTATTTATAACGATAATCAGGATTCTTCAAATGAACCCTCTGGGGTCAGAAGTAGAATACCTCCTTTCAAGCTGTATTTTTAATCAATTAATTTTAAATTTAAATTCTACAAACATAAATTTCTCAGGATAGAATATCACAATAGAATTCGGAAATTTGAAAAGAACAATAACACAAAATGCTTAAATGTAATTACATGCACAGACTGATTGAACTCAGAATGATCAGGTCTAACATCTATGGTGAACGTATAGTGGTGCTATATATAAAAGAAGAACTAAAGCTATTTTTTGTGGTTAGTAGTGATGTACAAATGAATATCAATCAACGAATATGATGAGATAGATGGTGATTATGGAGTTACAACAAATAAACGTTTAACGCGGAAAATTGTAGTTTAGCGTTTTTTTCGCTCGATAGTTTTACAAACCTGACGATATTTGGACTGCATGTAATAAAATACACAAATAACAGTTAGTAATTAATGGCATTTAGAACCCACCCGAAGCTTATAATATCAAAACCGAGTTGTTGTGTTTATCACTCACCTGTATAAGCAATTGTCCACTTTTCGTGTGTGGATTCCGGTAGGCATATAGCACCCACAAGAGAACGCAAGACACCAGGCAAATCGGTATGAAGAGACCCAGCGTTAGGCTCATTTTTTGTGATGGTTCCGCTTCCTCAGCCATGGATTTCATTTGTGTTCCAGCCAGGGGTTTCATTTGTGTACCATTGTATTGATATTCAGTATTACCACTGTCCACGGGTGCGGTTGTTGTTGAGGATTCTAAACCAGAAGGATTATATGGTTTAAATGGATGGGTTGTAACATCTTTGTGATTTGTATTGGTGTTACCATCTGTGTGAGTGTTGTTGCTACCAGCAGCTGGGCAAGTTGATGCCGTCACAATTTGGAAACGTTCACAGGCTTAAGGGAGAGGAAAATGGATATTTGAAGAGAAAATTCCGTTAACAATTATTTCAATACTTACAAAGTGTTTTCCATTCTTGTCTCTTGCGATCGGTACCGGTTGAGCATCTGTTTGCCGTTGGACACCAGAAGCACTGCAAGGTACAATACAAATTGAAGCTATATAGTGAATGGTAAACAATGTTTCTGTACTTACGGTAAAATCGGTGTTATGATTCAAGCACGACGCACAATCGGTATATTGCAAACATGTTGGCAAGGCGGTGAAATAAATGATTGTGGCATTTGTAATCTGTGCATTGCCAAAGCTAACACGATGATATTCGTAAATTGTCTTTCTGCGGGCATCTGTAAATTCGGAGGATTTATTTCAATGAAGTCATATTGTTGGGGCTAAAAGTAATTGTAATACTCACTGCCAACATCTTGATCCATAATATAGGCATCGGAGAGTCCAACCTTGACGGGATGTTTGTCATCTTGTATGGCATTAATGAAAATTGGCACTTTGTAATAGGTGAAAACGATATCGCCATTTTTGTGTAGTGTAGCACTGAACGTGAATTTACCGACATCTTGTTTGTCCTGAAGAGAAACATTTTCCCAGATGACAGTAAATGAAGAACCTGAAAAGAGAGGAATGTGTGAAAGATAAAATTAAATGCTGAGATGATAAGAAATTTTTAGGAAGTAAATGCTCAACTATGTTCAACCTTTGAATAAGGGATTACAACCACAAAAATTGCTAATTCTGGGATTATGTCTATATAAGACCTGTTGGCCACCACCTCCCATTTCTAAACAAGTCTTGTTCAGACAGTTTTCTGTAAAAGATCTATCTATATAGGTCCATTGAAGATTTGCAACATATTGATACAGAAGATTATAATCTACTGTTTAAGAATCATCTATCTAAAGCTCATTTGAAAGTTTTCCATCAGTAAAATATAGTATATTATGGTTAAGATATTGTACCAGATATGTGACTGATTTCATTTCAGAAAAGTGCAAATGGGTACATGACAAACCAGATACGGATAACTCCACTAAAGGATCAAGAATAGAGATTGGAAGAGAGTATTTCCGAATTGGACGTCAGTCTACTTAAAATAATTTGCAGTATATTCCAGTCAAAAATGTTTCCAATATTGAAAGCATTGCGCATGCTTAAAGTGGTCATATTCTGGGTACCTTGTCAGATTACAAATAGCTGACGAGTTTGCTTGTGGAGGATCTCAATGAAATGGGACATTGAGCTATTATGTGAGAAAAATTCATTCCTTTTCGAGGAGGCAGGCCACAGATAACAAACGGATTCTCAATGTAGGACATCAAGGGTAATCTGAACGAGCCTGTCCTAAAGTATAACTAACTCCCTACTCTATGTTAGAATAAGGAGGAATTAGAAACGAAGTGTTATGCAAAAGTTTCCTATGATCTATAGATAGAGATATTGTACAGGGTGAGATGAAAAAACTGCAACCAACTTCAGACTGCTGTCTTTCTAAGCCACTCGTCCGATAGCTGTTAAGATTATTCCAGTGACAGCTCATTATATTGTTTATAAGCGTACAAAACCATTTTGATGAGAATTTTCCAGAAAAAAAGTTATTCGTGATGGAATTCAAGCGTGATAGTGCGATTTCTTTATATTTGGCTGGAAAACCCCAAGTAGCTATCGTTAGAGCACTCCAGCATTTAAATGTGAATAAATCTTTTGTGACTCCTACCATCGCTTGTTACCGTGATACTGGTGGTAGGAGTAGCACGACGTCAAGGAAGTGGACGGAAGAAAACAGCAACATAATGGTTCGAAAAATAATAAAGCGACATGATCGAAACCCGCGCCGCAGAGGCCGAAAATGGTTCGAGAGCTAAATATATTGCAATATTCCATTCGCAAATATTGAAAAATGAGTTTGGGGTAAAGCCTTTGAAATTCCAAAAAGTGCAAGAACTTACACCGCAACTGAAAGAAAATATACTCTAAAGAGCTAAAGAGTTGTTTCGCTTGGTCGAAAGTGGTGAATTACCGAATTTGGTTTTCTCCGATGAGAAAACATTCGTTGTCCAGCAGTTTGTAAACAAACAAAATGATCGTGTTTACTTGCCAAAGAGGTCAGCTTAAAATGTGCACTTTCGGTTGGCCACCTGAACTCAAGCGCCGGCCATGGTGAGGGTGTGGGCCGACATAGCAGCCGATGGTCGCTGTCCGCTCGTATTAATCGACCGTGGCATCAGAATAAATGTCGAATATTATCGCGAAAATATGTATCTGAAGGCGTTTTAAAGCTTGTGCACGCAAACATATTGGCCACAGACCTTGGACATTCCAACAGGACTCAGCACCATCGCACTCAGCACGCCCCACCCAAGAATGGTTACAAAATGAAGTTCCTCGCTTCATTTCTAGCGCAAAATGGCCACCAAAATCTCCGGATACCAATCCATTGGACTATTGTGTCTGGAGTATTTTGGAAAGTAAGGTTGGCTCTAAAAAAATACCAAAGTGTCGATCACCTCAAGCAAGCGCTTCTCCAGGAATTGGCCAAGATACTTCAGAGCAACATTCGGTCAGCGTGTGACGGTTTCATTGGCCGTTTGAAGGCCATAATTCGTGCCAGGGTGACCAATTGGAACAAATCGAAACTTATTTTAAAATTTGATGCTATTTCCGACATTTATTTGTTTTCATTCAATAAAATTTAAAAAAATGTAAAAGTTATGGCGTTTGACTTTGCTGCAGTTTTTTTTTTTATATTGCCCTGTATACACGAAGTGCTATACCCAATTTTTCTTTTTAATTTTTTGATCAGGGATGAACACGTGTAAATCACATGAATAAATTTTCTTTCTATATTCGATTTCCTAGGATTGACACAATGGACCAAAAGTTTCAGAGTGAAGTGGATGTCGATTCCTGCTTAGCTGAACATCTTTTAACCAAATAATTGTAATGTATAAGGAGCTGTTTTTTGTCAGTTTCCAATACAATACATAATTTCTCTAAATAATCTCTTACCTGTATCGTTAAGACGCACAAATGAATCATTCGAAAGACTTGTATCGAAATTTGCCATCAACGGTGCAATATATTGTGTAGCAGCCAACCAAGAATGTACATAATCGCCGGTATAGATGAAGCCACCAGTGGCCACAGTAACATTTCTCACGGGATGGCCATAGAATGGGAAATCAAAACTCAATAAAACAGTCTGAAAAAATAAAACACAAATTTATGTACATTAAATCTGAATGCTAATCATGGAAAACGAATTTGTTTCATTACCATTGCTCGGCGATGAGATTGTGATAACATCCAGTTGGGTGTAATATTTTTAATGTCATTCCAGTATTTGTCGGCTTTATCTTTGTCGGTATAGGTGGTGCTGTTGTAGTATTGATGGTGGTCCTGAAAAATATCATCGGAACAGAAATTTATTACATTTTTTGAAAACAAAATCAAAAGCAGAAATAAATGGGTTAGATGGATTCTTTATTAATGGAGTATGAACAAAAATTCCAGGCAATAAATCTGCATTGAAACATTTTACACAAATATGTGCACTGACATTTCTATAACCCCTTCTATTATTCATAAATTCCATCCGATGAAGCTTTTGCCTAACATTGATTATGATTTTTATGACTGTGGGTTATAGTTTTTTTTTTTTGTTTAATTCAAATGCCGGCCCCTTTAAGGGGTGAATTGAATACAATTGTTATTTATGCGGTTTTGCTGCTAACCATGACATTGCGGTAATTGATGAACATCTTATTGTTTTATTAAAACAATAACAACTACGATGTATTAACTTATTCATTTCCACGTTGTTTGCAAAGAAAAGTACAATGGCGGAAATAAACCCTTGCCATTTTATGTAGATTTTGGCCATGTTCGCAAGGGCAATAGGGAAGGGAGTACCACTCGGAGCCTAAACTTAAAATCATGATATTATTAGTCAAAAATTGAAGAATTAAGGACAGACCTATTTCCTCCAATATTGCTATCTATACCGATTTATCTGTGATAGACAAAGGGAAGAAACAAATATCTGACACTCAGAGCGATCGATGCAGAAAGCTAAATAAATATCAATGAAGGCATACAGATTGCGGATAATTTAATGCAAACGCCAGGCTATAGGTAATAAACGTTAGGTTAGTTCTCCATCTTTTCCAAAATCTTGGATATCTCTCGAAAAAGTAGTATGGTCATTTAGTTTTGTTGTTGTTGTATACAGTTTGGCTGCTATGTAAGGGTCCTTCCTGAAGTTATAACAAGTAAAAAGCTGAAAGTTCTGCCGGGCCGATTTTTGAATACCATCCACCATTTGGAACGAATTTGGGAATTAAAAAAAAAAACGTTTAAAATTCTGCTAAAATCTTAAAAATACAGATTGTAGACGTTTTATTAGGGTCTATACGACGGCGTGGACCTGCATAGGTAACTTTTGTCATAAGCCATTAGAATATTCAAATGCGAAACTTGAAAAAAAAAATCGGTGAATAATGTAGCTAAAATCATCAAAATATCGAATATATGGAGGCACCGTCATATTGCGGCTATACGAAGACGTGGACTTGCTCAGACAATTTTCTGCCTTAGGCTGTACTATCCTGTACTATCCATTACGAACTTTAAATACCAAATTTGAAACATTTCCGGTGAATATTGTCGCTTAAATCACAAAAATACCAAAAAAGAGAGGTACTATTATATGGGGGCTTACTAAAACGTGGACCTACATGACCCACTTTCTATACCAAAAGTCCTGCAGACATATTACACATTAGAGTAAAATTTTATCAACCTACTTCATTTCGCTTGGAAGCTAGAGTCATTTCCACAGACGGACGGACATCGCTAAATCGACATAGAATTTTATGCTGATCACGAATATATATACTGAATAACAAACTTAATATACCCTCCATACTATGGTGGAGGGTATAAAATTATAGGAGGAGCTGTTTTTTTTTAATTATTTGTGTGCATGGGCTGTCAGAGAAACTGGGCCACATCAATAGGATATGCCCACAAGTCTATCCGATGAATACTTCTTGGATTATTTGAAAAACATTTACAAATGCGAATGTCGTGAAGGTTTTGTAGGCAGAGAGGGAATCTGTTAGTGCTACTGGGGACAATTTAAAGACGTTACAATATATACACAGGACGTAGTTGTAGTAGAATGTGTATGCCTATGAAAGTGCCGCTAACCGTCCAATATCGCAGTACGATGTTTGCATCTACAGCCTTTTATGGGTGTGTAAAACGTCCGCTGATGATCTATTTTTTAGCGTTCACTATCGATGAACAGTTGAGGTCCAATGGAATGATGTCGTTTGGGCGAAGATTCACACCTGCCACAATGTAGCCCTGAGAACTGCGACAGGGTGCGGAGGCTAAGGTACTTCTTCACCCTGAGATGTCAAGAAAGACCTGCTCGAAAGGAGGTCCAAGGTACTTTCCTTACTTTAGTATAATCATCATATGCTTTCGTTGCAGTACCTACTTGGGTACTATCGTGGGAGTCATATGGTGGATAAATTCGAATGGGTAATAGGAATTGACCTGCAAAATCTACCCCAATCACTCCTGAAGATCTTCGGTTACAACCCGCGGAGGTAGCCGAATTTTTAAATCTGGAGTTAGAGCCTAATTAGCAGAATTCAAGCAACCTCTGTAATGTGAGCTCTCGAAGGCTCATACTCATTGTTGTTAATTTCGCAGGTGGCTCTGGAAGCAGTTATGGCTAGTCAGCAGCTGCTTAAAAAGTCTCTTATCGATATCGTTGAAGGGTACCCAACTTTAAAAGAAAAAGAAGCTCCCTTCTGTCATTTAGTAGGTCCGATCTAAGAATCATGGTAGGAATAATGACTGGTAACTGAAGTATCAGATAACTGACATCAATAGGGAATAAAAATGTTCCAGACTATTGCAGACTATGTGAAGATGAAAAAGAGGTAGAGTCGTATGAGCACCTACTATGCGGATGTCCCATGTTATCCAATGATTGTGAAAAGCATTTCCTGGCTAGAAACCGAAAATAAGCTTGTAGGGCGCATGATTAAAGGCAACTGTAACTCACGCTCCATGACTTCCTAATGGGCAGGAGATTATACGGAATTCTGTAGTCTCTTTCCAGGTAAAGAATAATCAAAAAGGGTCGAAAATTTGCTGTGTCTCTGTCCAAAGTTGTCTATAAAAAGCTCAGGCTTATTTCCAGCTTATACTCCTTTTCAGAACGAAACCAACACGTGCAGGGTGAGATAAAAGAAACACTGCAACAAAGTCAAACGCCATACTTTTTACATTTTTTGTTCTAATTTTATTGAATGAGAGCAAAAAATGTCGGAAATAGCATCACATTTTTGGAATAAGTTTAGATTTGTTCGAATTGGTCACCTTTGGCATGAATTATGGCCTTTAAACGGCCAATGAAACCGTCACACGCTGCTCGAATGTTGCTCTGCGGTATTTTGGCCCATTCCCGACGAAGCGTTTGCTTAAGGTGATCGACACTTTGGTATTCTTTAGTGCCAACCTTGCTTTCCAAAATACTCCAGACACAATAGTCCAACGGATTGGTATCCGGAGATTTTGGTGCTCATTGTGCGCTGGAAATGAAGCGACCTCTTTGGCAAGTAAACACGATCATTTTGTTTGATTAAAAACTGCTGGACAACGAATGTTTTCTCATCGAAGAAAACAAAATTCGTCAGTTCTCCACTTTCGGCCTCGCCAAGCAACTCCTTAGCTTTTTTGAGTCTATTTTCTTTCAGTTGCGGTGTAAGTTCTTGCACTTTTTGGAATTTCAATGGCTTTACCCCGAGCTCATTTTTCAATATTTGCCGAATGGAATATTGCGATATGTTCAGCTCACGAGCCATTTTTCGGCTGCTGCGACGCGGGTTTCGCTTCATTACTTTTCGAACCATTTCTGCTGAGGTTGCTGTTTTTTTTTCATCCACTTCCTTGACATCGGGATACGCTACCAGTATCACGGTAACGAGCGGTGGTACGAGACATAAAATATTCATTCAAATTTAAATGCTGGAGTACTCTAACGATAGCCACAAATATAAAGAATTCACACGATCACGCTTGAGTTCCATCACGAATAACTTTTTTTCTGGTAAATTCTCACCAAAATGCTTTTGTGCTCTTGTAAACAATATAATCAGCTGTCACTGGAAAAATTTTAACAACTTTCGGACGAGTGGCTTGGCTTAAAATTGGCAGCAGTCTGAAGTTTTTGGCATTTTTTTCATTTCACCCTGTACATTCGCCGATCAGAAGACCATCCTTGTCGCATTCATCCTTATCCCAAATCCAATAAGAAATTTTCTAATTTCCAATATGAACACAATAGACCATAATATGTGGAGAAATTGCCTAACCTAGTGGATTACCTAAAAACTACAAGATCCCTATATGGATATTAAATGTATCCGATATATGTCTCAATATTGTCCTAGACTCTGGGATATAAGGTACGTATATGACTTTCCCAACTTTATCGGAAATACAACGACTTTTGCATATTTCGAAAATTGTATTTTTTTCATGAAGAAGTGAACCGCATTCATTTTTGGTTATAACCAAGACAAAAGGTTCCATAGAGGTGTTTGTTAATATAAATCCAAAATCCTCTTCTGAATGGAACAAAAGTAATTTTTTCCGAAATTCGCAGAAGCTCGTATCTTTCCGCTAACTAAAAAACTATTGGCTGCATTTTGTTTTCATTATTTTTCTAAAGAAGCTCTTCCAGTAGGAAAAAAACATGAACATACAAACATAAATCCCTTACAAAACGATGTATGGCAATGTTGACTTTACACACACACCCATAAACAACACATCACAATTTCAAATCATCGTCCATTTCCGGCCTCTCTCCCTCTCTCTCTCTCTCTCTCTCGCATCAACTTACCGATGTTGTATCCAAAGTGCGATTTGTCTTCTTCAATGATTCCAAGGTATCTTCTTCCGGTACATCAATGGTGTCTATGAGTTTTTCCAAGTCCGTTTCTTCGGTACTATTTGTTGAACCAGTCACGGGCCCTGTTGCTGCAGCAATTGTTCCGGCAACAGTGGCGGCGACACCTGTTGCAGCTACTTTGGTAGCAGACAGCACCTTTTTGGGGAATTGATTTGCATTCTTTTTGGCTTCGTCCGATGATGTGGCGTCGGCACTCTTTGTAATATCTGTGGGAACCGCTGTTGCCGCTGTTGTTGTGCCGATTTTATCGGTCATATCCTTGCGCTGACCTGTTCCATTGACACCCAACAAAGGTCGACTACTGGGAGGCACTTGAACGGATGAGGTGGAGACATCAGCAGCCTTGTCTGTTGCAGACACCGATGTGCTGCCGTTAGCATTTTGTTGCTGAGCAACGGCAGCAGTAGCAGCTGCAGTACTTGAGTTTGTGGTTTGAACACTTTGGTATTGATTTTTAATATCTACAATGGGTTTTTTGTCATCTGCAAGTGAAAAGGTTGAAAAAAAAAGAGAGAAATGAGTTAAAGTTTGAATTTAATAAAAATATATGAATGTATTTAAAAAGGAACAGTTAAATTAAGAGTATATGTGGTAATAAAAGTACTCGTACGTTTTGGAAATAATTGGCACACGGTTATGTTCGCAGCTTTAATTTTTTCGACATTTCTATTTTTAGACTTATGAGATTTCATAATGTATAACTGTACGTATGATGATTGCTGTTACTCATACGCAACATGGGGCAACAACTTTTGCGTTTCATTATCGTAAAGAGTACTTAAATAACTGCAAAACGGCTAAAGCAAAAATCTTGAATTTTAGACGTGATTTTAGAAATTTTGTACTAAAAGGTTACGGAAAGTACTAACATGTACTAAAAATTTAATACTTTGTTTTGAAAAAACCTAGAAATGACCCAGAATTCTGATGTTTGGAGATTCGAACTTTAAGGTAACAAAAAGTTATGAAATGGTACTAAACTTCGAAAACGGATAGAGCTTATAACTTGAAATTTTGTATGCAAATCAAGGTTGGACTTAAGTTTGACATATGAAGGTGGTTTGGGAAATGTTGTTAAAATATTGTGGTTTTGTGATAAAGAGGTGGTTTTCCAAATTTGTACTACAAGTGCACAAAAAGTACTACAAATAAAAAAAGTTCTAAAAATAAAAAAGTAATAAAAATACTGTATTTGGTACAATTTGATATTACGTGAACAGATAGTGCTTGAAAAGGGAAATTTGGTATTGGGGTCGCTGTTCATGTGTAGCCTGGACATATGGAGTTGATTTTGCAAATGTGTACCACAATTGTACGAAAAGTTCTAAATGGTACTGTATTTGGTATTGGGTGAATGAGTAGAGATAAAATTCTGATATTTGATGTAGATGTCACTGTTGGTGCCTGTGATTGAGATATGGAGGTGGTTTTGGAATTGTGTACTATAATTGTTCGAAAAGTACTAATTTTGGATTACTATTGGTGTCTAGGATGGTAGGATAGTTTTGGGTAGAAAAATTGGATGTGGACCATTTTTTGCAATGCTTTTACTAACATCCCCCGGTAAAATTCAAAATGAAAGATTTTGAAGACTTTTTGGAGAAAAAATGGAAAACTTTTTCCTTCCTGCCCTCTGTTTTTTTTTTTTTTTTTTTTGGTTTTTTAATATTCCAGACTTAACTTTAGACAGTGGTGCGACCGAAAGTTTAAGTAGTCATGACCCTTTCAGAGAGATAAGAGGAGGCGGCCACAGACCTTTTCGTGAATTTATCGATCAGAATCGATATTATCTCAAAATTCCTCATGTACTTCAGCCTCAATATGATCTGTCTGAATTTGGCACGACGTCGAAAGTCCTTATCGATCTTGGTGTTTGAAGGAAGATCAGAAACTACTTCAAACTTAATAACAACTGCAGCGTATTTTAGGCAATTGCTGTTGGTAAGCGGAAGCAGTGAGCTGATCTGACTGGCAACTATATATGTCAATGTTCAAGCGGGCCTGAAAGCACTAAATTCATGTACCACTGAATCTTTGGCAGTTTTAGAGTATAAAAATGCTTTGGAAAGACCAAAGTCGTCCATTATGTTTTGTTGGGTTTCTGGCCATTGAAGCATCCCTGGTAATGAATCTGCAGATGAATTGGCAAGACGTGAATCCGAGGCAATCGATTTGGAGATCCATGGTGCCACCTTTTCCGAGTGATATATAAGCATTACTCCAGGAGATTTCAAAAAACTGGCCAAATAAAGGAGGATGTTATGTGTCCAAGAAAATTTGGCCGGTACTCTCTGGAAAGAGATCAGGGTGGTTCTTCTCCACATCAAAATCCGACATAAAACTTGTGTAATCACAAGCCAATGTCACATAAGGGCCATTGCTTCCAAGTGGGGTGACGGCGACACCGATTGCTGTAGGCTCTGTCAAGATGAAGAGGAAACTGTACCGGTAGAGCACTTACTCTGCCACTGTCAAGCTCTCTTCGGAGTGAGACATAGGCTTATGGAGAAGCAATTTCTTTACGATTCTGTTTTCATTCTCCGAGAGCGAACCTTCGGTTAGCCAGATGACTAAAGAGGTGAAATCAAGACGTTAACTTCTAAATGGATATCAAATCATTTTTTGTTTCCTTCTTCTCGGTTTCCCTTTTTTTTATCAAAATTAGGATGAACACAATGTACCAGCAGGTCTCCGAGTTCATCCTAATTTAGGAAAAAAATAAAAAACTGCGCATCCTTAAGACTAACCTAACCTAAGACAGAACCCTTCACCGTCATCATGAGTTTTCCGTCTCAAAATCAGTTGGTTAGAGAAGGATATGTTCTTCTTTGCTTCTGTCAGACAACAAAAAATGTCCCTCATGATTCCCAAGGGAACGCACCCTCGGCGTAGACCCTCACTCTCTATCAGGAATTCCCTCTGTCCCTGTTAATCACTCATTCGGCTCGTCTGCCATTAAATATTTCACAAAAGTTAAAAAATGTTGTTATCCTTGATGGTTGAGGATATGTTCCTTTCTTGCTTGTGTCAGACAAGAAAATGTCCTCCGAAATTCAGCAAGGAAAGCTTTTCCAGCGTAGACTCTTATTTAAATGACATAGATAAAGAGTGTACTCGCAGGAGCACTCCCAAGCGATAGAAATTCGGATCTAGCTCAACAAAAATGACAAAACCTTAAGGATCACCCGCTAGAAGTAGTGTCTGGTCGATTTTGAGCAAAACATACTCGCTCATATTCGAGTGACATAAAAAAATAAAATTTTCTCTATTTATTTTTTTACTCGCAAGAGTACTCCTGCGGGCATACGAGTACAGTGCTCTGGATTAGCGGAACTCTGGATTTAACATAATATCGACTATTAATATATAAATGTATATACATATACAAAATCGATTTTCCTTAATTAATTGCGGAATACCCAATACCATATGGTCCTATTTTTAAAAGCTTTATTCCAACACACCATAACGCATATCCTGCTCCAACACATAACTCAAAAGTGGTGGGCGTCATTTGCCTATTTTCCATAATCTGTGCGAACTTTTACAACGCAATTAATTTGATGCGTTGAACATAATCAAGCAGCTGTGCTTTTCTGTGACGGGGTGAGAGAGGAGGTGGTGGGTCATATTAAGGTCAGTGCGTGTTTATTTCCATTAAAAATGTATTTTGAAAATTATACCCAACCACCACGTTGTCGTCGTCTTCAACCTCTTGGCTTCATTCTGTACACTCTATTCATCAGTCAGGTCGTCAAGCGCCAACCACCAAATAGACTAGCGGGGCCGGCCACCACCTGGAAACGCCATGAGTGGCAACGGCAATAAAAACGAAAAAAAAAAGAATGGTGGCGACATATCAACGAAGACGACGCCGATGACCTTTTGTAACTGTAACTGTGGCAAAAATACAAAATGAAACATGGAATAAAAATCGATTTTCTAATAACATTATATTCGGAATGGACTGACAAAGAGTGGCCTACTAGACCCCAACCAACTATGTTTTCGGTTTGTTGCCTATTTTCAGTGTTCTGGCTTCCCATTGCTCGGCGTGGGTGTGTGTGCGAGTGTATGAATGATGTAATTATAACAGTACATTCACAAAACGGTCGCGGCGCTGCTGTTATTAACAAAAAATCTTTTCATAGTCTTCTAATAATGGAAGACTGGCCTCATAAAAGGGTCACTCTTGAAAACCTATGTTACGGAAATACCTACTGTGCGGTGGTGGTCCGACCGACCGGCACGGCTCAAATGTGTACATAAATTAACTCAGCTGTTTTAATAGGATTATGTTTAGATTTTGCAAACCTCACACACGCACAGGGACACATATTACTATTTAAATTTCCATTGCAAGGCATTTACATACAAATAAAGGCTATTAAAGAATAATAGAAGTGAATAGTAGTCAGTTATGCCCTAGTGGAGGATGTATTAAAAAATGAAAGAGAAAACATTTTGTTATGCTAAAATTAGGTGAAATCTGAAAACAAAGTGTGAGACATATTATCTTACAAAGTATAAAAGCATGGGTGTGAATGTTCAAGAAACAATTAAAATAAGTATAAGATTTATTGGCAAATGAACACTGGAATACCGTCGTATACGTAGCGTCAACACTCATACGCATAGGTGTACAAAAAATACAATTTCAACTATCTGGCTTAAATTGTACAGGTAAGTGCCCGCTACAGCGTTTTCGAATTTGACAAAAAATGTTAATCAAAACCTCATACATCGTACTTAAATTCCAAACTTTTAAAGATTTATATATCACTCGGAAAGATTAATAGGAAAATTGCCATTTCGTTTTTTTTGAACAATTACAGTACGCTTTGGCAATACCCCCACCAGATCTCAACAGAGAGCTCAAAATAAAAATTTGAGAGTTCCAGCGCTATCACTTCACCAAATATCAAATTTAGTTCCAATTAGTACTTTTCGTACAATTATAGTACACATTTCCAAATCACCGCGAGATACCAACAGAGACTTCAATATAAAACTTCGAAATTTTAGCTCTATCACTTTACCTTATTCCACATTTAGTACCATACAGTACTATTCGCATAAATAATGGCCGCATTTGCAATCCACTATTTAATCCCAAAGTAATCTAAATATCAAATTTCAGAATGTTATCTCTATCTCTTTACCCAATAAAAAATTTAGTACCATTTATTACTTTTCGTACATTTATAGTACAAATTTCGCAAATATTTCAATTCTAGATACTAGTAGAGTAGATACCTCTATATCAAAATTCAGGATTCCAGCTGGTACTATTCGCATAAATAATGGCCGCATTTGCAATCCACTATTTAATCCCAAAGTAATCTAAATATCAAATTTCAGAATGTTATCTCTATCTCTTTACCCAATAAAAAATTTAGTACCATTTATTACTTTTCGTACATTTATAGTACAAATTTCGCAAATATTTCAATTCTAGATACTAGTAGAGTAGATACCTCTA